TGCTTAAAAATAGTTATAAATTCCAACTCCTGTGAATAACGCACAAATTTTGAAGTGCAGGTCCAGTAAAAAGGGCAACCTGTTGCCCCCACTGCCCCCCGTGGCTCTGGCACCCCTGCAAAAAAGGCGCAAAGATATGAGAGAAAAGTAGGGAGAGACAGACTTGGGACGTTTGCAAGTGCGCCAAAATTTACCATTGGATTTTTTCAGGTGTGGCTTGTGAATTAACAACAACAAATTTCCGCGATGAACATTCGAAATGTTGCAAATGTCCCAAGTCTGTCTCTTCCTACTTTTCACCTGAGACGGACTTGAACCAATTCTGTGGCAGCTTAGATAATAGCAATAATAAGAAAGCTTCAGATTGATAGGGATGACCTCCTTGTACTATTCAGGTAGCTGTATCCTTAACAATTCAAAGCTTTCTTCTATCTTTTAAATTAAAATTGTCTATATAGAGCTTTTTTCTTCACCTTTACAGAGTCTTGCTCAGAAACATCATCCCATGTGGGTCCATTTTGGATGATCTCTGCGGGTTTCTTATTTGTATTCTAGAAAACATTACAATGCTTTTATGAAGAGTTTCTCAACTGAAAAATATCAAACTTATCTGGCATGTCACCTGTTTTACTTGTTGTTTTGGTAAACCATCACAGTTCAATATTCTTGCTTGTTCTTCCTCTTCATCTGGTTCTTCTTCTGACATTTCCCATCTACATTTTCACACAAACAATTATAATGGTTTGTTGCAGAAAGGATCAATTACATGCCTTGAAGGTCTGTGCTAGTCTAGGTAGTGGCAATAATATTAAAGCTTCAGATTGGTACGGATGCAATCCAAAGCATTCTCAATTACATGCCTGTAGATTTTACATTTGTGGAGGTGTGATTTTTAGAGCTACAGTATAGCTGCAGGTTTGAAGAGGAAAATTTGTGTTGCTGTGAAGTGAAAGCAATTTCTGATAATAATAAAATGTACAATTGAGGACTGGAATGAACTTTCCTCCATGGGAAGATCACTCCGGGGTGGAAACAGTATCGGCACACAGTACAAATTACGAGAATATGTTTGGATGGAGGGAAGACAAAATGAATGAATGAGATAGACAGGTAAACAAAACTAACAGGTAAACAAAACTAACAGGTAAACAAAACTAACAGGTAAACAAAACTAAACAGGTAAACAAAACTAAACAGGTAAAGTGGGGGGAGAATGTATGGACTAAATTGGAGTGGTCAACAAGAGCTGGAGGAATAGACTGTAATGGCGACAATGCTGAATGAAAATATGTGATGATAAAGTGTAATATACCTTGGTGTTTCACGTACATCGATCTCATGCATATGATGATCAAATATGTCATCTGGAACACAAGATAATTATTTTAGTAATAATTATAATCAAATCAGCCAAAGAAAAATAGTTTGACTGATCAGTTGTGTGTGTATAAACATGGGAAGATCTTCCCCAGATCTTATACGCAGACAAACTGTCTCTGCCTTGAACCAAATCAAATAATTATCAGTTTTATCACAATGTCCCTATATGTTGCATATCACATTCGCTTGACAAACATTGTTGTACAACTACCAATAACTAAGATTCTTTATTCAATTCTTATTTTATTGAAGAACTGAATAAAAACAGTTTGTGGATAGGGTGGGAGTCAGTTTAATTCTTTTAATACTCCATAGACACAGCATGGGATTTTCAATACCTAATCAAAGACAACCATCTGTATTTTCTCACTACAAAGCTCGCTATAAATAAGCTAAATATCTCACAACAAACCTTCAATCTCGTCATGCCTATTCTCCATGGCTTTATGAATCAATCACGTCTAATCTTTCTTTAGAAACACGCCGTAAAACAAGACAATGAACGATCAAAATATAAAAATTTTTCATGTTTACATGTTTATATTCCAGTTCGGGTCAACGGCATTCGACGTCTTTTTCTCGCTTACTGTTCGCTGCTGCACGCCGATTTCTTGCAGAAAATCATCTTAAAACATAACCTTGTACAACTAAATAACGAAAATAAATATATTTTGCTTTAAAACCCGGCAATTTTCCGTTTAAAAAACCACTCTCTTGAGGAACAAAAATTTGACAATTAATGAATCGAATGATCGTGACCTCTCGGAATTGTATCGGAAACTGTCGTAATACGGATGCTGAAAGTTTCTGGTGCGAACAAGAGAAAAAGGCCGAGTGTTTTTGATAAATTATGAAATTGCCCAATGTCAAAAAGGCCCTAGGAGCGAGGTTGCTAGGTATGTTCCGCATACATGTTGAGAAATGGTCGGTATATTTAGTGCACTCATTTTATAATATTTACTTTACGGATATTTTACAATATGACCTCAAACCCCTTGACCCGTACTTGAAATCGCTTATCATTGTGATATAAAAACAGCTCACGCGAAAGTACATTAAAAACCTCTGCTAGTGGCCCGCGTTGGAACGAGGTTGGTGGGCAAACCGGGGCTGTAAACTGCATGTTACTGAGTTGCAGGTTGATTACATAATCAAGATGGGAAACCAAAACTCGGCCACCAAACTGGAAAATGAATTTGGACCTTCGGCTTGAACGAACGCTCAGCTTACGAGAATAAACTCCTTCTTGTGTGGGTGACGGAACTTCATTTTAGGTTGGCAAGCAACGCCTTAACAAACCTGCGACGTAAATTCAATAGTATACCAACTTAATACTTTGGAATGGTCCCACCTTTTCATTTATGTGTACAAAATTACCTTGGTATAAACCCAGCTCAACTTAGTTCAGTGGTCCTTTGTATGTTGATGAATTATCTTGTAGTTGAATATTACATTCTAATCATTTTATAGACTGCGATTGCATCTCAATGATATTACCCAAGAATGTGTTACAAAGTACTTAATTAATATCAGTTGTTAGTCAACGTATCAGAAAGATAAATCTTAAACTCATTAATGATGCATGAGTAAATTAGTCAACCATATTGCTTTATTTACACACATAATAATACTGGATACCTGATGAAGTATTTTGATTCAGTCCTAGGACTACAGGCTATCCTACGACTGGAACAAACTTAATTCATCTCCGTTTAAGTGATTTATTTGTATGAGACGTCATTTCAAATCCTCCAATTTGGACTAGACTAGATTTCAAGTCCTCACGCAGCCGGAATTAGAGAGGTTTAGCAAAGACGACGCGACGTAAAAGACGACGTGAAAATGGCGTGGAAATGGCGTGATATGCCCATCTAAGGATGTGCCCACGCCATTTTTACGCCATTTTCACGTCGTCTTTTACGTCGCGTCGTCTTTGCTAAACCTCTCTATTAGCCCTTTTTCACGCCGCCATTTTTGGGTTGGCAGTTTCAGCCGACGTCTGCGAGATAAGTCCACATAACAGCGACTTTTTATACTTTTTTGGACAATTGATTAATTTTTTTGAGTGAAGTTATTGAACCACAACACTGAACAAGGTAACAACTATACAGCGTGTATAAAAATGAAAGTAATCCAGCTTTAGAGTGAGTGCTCTTGCGCGCAAAATATCTCAGATTAAATAAATGATTTCCCAGTAATAAAGATTCGAATGACACCTTTTTGTATCATTTCAAGCAAAAATGACCAAATACGAGCCGATTAAAAATTGCCGGTCGAAATCACATTTTCCCACTTTTTTGGTTTTTCTTTTGTTCTTCAAATGAAAAACCAATAAATTTCTAACCAATCACGCCAAACAATAAGCTGAAACCAATTAAGCCTGATTCTCATATGTCGCCGACGTCGGCGATGCCCATTGTCGTTGATCATTGATGAGTAAAATATTTTGTCTATGTTCTTCTTCACTGATCTCAAACAATGGCATCGCCGACGTAGGCGACTTATGAGAACCAGGCTTTAGTGAGCAGATGTTAGGGCTTGTTAAATTAAAATTCATGATCTTAGATCCAAATGGGATTTACTTTCAATAGTTTTTCACCAAATTCCCAACGGTGGAAAAATGCGACAATTTTTATTCGATTCGTACTTGCCACTTGGCAATTTCTCTTCAATCTAGTCGAAACGACGAATAAACACTTTGCAAAATGTTTACAGTTTTCGGAGTATTGTTTGGTATCAGAATTTACTCGCTTGTTTAGAACGTGCGTGGGAGGAATAATAAAGTAAAACTCTTACTCAAATTGTATCGCTAATGATTATAATTATGGTTTACTATTTTGATAATTATTTATACAGTACTGTAGTTTAAATATTACCATACTGGTAGTTATTAATCATCCGATTATGTTACTATAAAAACTTTGGTGGTTCTTATTGGATTATTAAACAAAGGGGGTGAATGCATGCGCGTCAGCGGGAAGGTAACCAAGCACTTCGATCACATTCCACATTTAATGAGCACTACTCTTGCATAAGATTCTGAGATCTCGACGGAGGTTGCTAAACTGCACATTGAAACTGCTCCAAATCCGCTGAAATGAGCTGCGACAAACACGCCAACGGTAAGTAAAGATAAGGTTATGATAATAAGGAGATATTAAATGAAACATAGTTATCTGTTGAATTAAACCACACAGAGCATGACAGCATGCACTTGAAGCCTACTGAACAATGTGTGAAGTGGAGTGACTACTTTGTGTGGAGCCGGCTTTTAACGGGGCACGTTGTCGTAGGCTCTACATGCTGTGATGAGTTGCTTGTTAAAGTCACAGTGAATTAATGAGTGGTATTCTATAGAGTTCCTAAATAAGCCCTTGAAGTTGTAGATACAGTCACAATCATTTCAACAATGTCGCAATACTAGGCTAAGCTATTATGTCTCAAAAATCACTTAATTAAGCTGTTAATAATATTGCCTGTATCCCAGTCTACTATTAAAAATATGGATTTGGTTCCATATCTAAGGTCCTTTCTTCAGTTTTAGGCTTTTAGCGCGTTTTTAAGATCGTACTCACAATTTATTGATATTGTACAGATTTATTTATTAGGTCATATAAGGTCACACGAAGTTAATCCCAAGGTATTCTGAGTTCTCGTGTAATTCTGATTATATGTGTGCTCATGTTGCTGCGCTACTCCATGTAATGACAGCAATAAGATTATATCTCTGTAAACGTTTTTGCGAATGATCTAGCTGTTATAGTTTACACATTTAAGATATCTGGACCACCACGTTTGAGATATCTTTTGACGCAGTTCAGACACAAACCACGGCAATTTATTGTAGACTACTATACCTACACTGAACTTTACGTTTAAAACTCATCTCAGAAACAGGTAAATTGATAAAATTGGCGTCTAAAGGTCGTTTTCCACTGGACGGAATTTTCTGCGCGGAGCGGAATTTCTCTTTGTCTTTTCTAAGTAGTTCCATCCAAAAAATCACAAGACAAAGAGAAATTCTGCTCTGCGCGGAAAATTCCGCCTAGTGGAAAACGGCGTTTAAAAGCTCCGAGGAGTTATCTCTAGCTATGACAAATATATTTTCTGCATGATGAAATGTATCCACGAAGAGATCATTTTCATTTTTTAGATTGTTGCAATGGCCCGGGTTATGCTACGCCATTAGATGCGATGAAAGGTCCCCGGGAGAAGATTGTCTATGTGCCATGTATTTATAGTAATACTGGGATTAAAAAACCTGACTATCTTGCTACAGTTGATGTGGACCCAGAGTCGCCAGATTACGGCAAGGTAAGAGGTCATTCGGCAAGGTTGATTTTTGTCTCCTCCGAAATTGGGCTATGATACAAATAGAACTATAGAAGAATTGTGAGTTGGTTTCCTCTGGCCAGAAAATATTTGCAGTGCATTCTTTCTTTCTATTCCTATACCCAATTTAGATAGTGTTCGCAGTCATTACATTTTCTATGTGTTTTATAGCATGCACAGGTACGATGTAAATTTTGTTTCTTAAATACCTCTAATATTCGTGGTTACGTGGACTTAAATGACTCTTTATAGCAGATAAATTACAATGACAGGGTTCGTAGTCTCCAAGACAAAAATTTTCAAATATTTTTTCTGCCTATTTTCAAAGACTTTTCAAAGACCTTTGAGAGCAATCAGCTGTCGAAAAATTGCGAGTGTAAGCACCATTTTTACCAGGTAATTAGTCCCGCCAAATCACATCCTAAAATGCGCCTTTTCGTCGATATTTGCGAAAATCTTGCTTCAATTAATCTATTTTATTAGCTAGGAAATCGTATAATCAATTCCTCACTAAAGAATTTAAAGATTTTCTTCGCTTCTTCACACAATTCAAAGACCTTTCAAATACCTTAAAGACCTGCATTCAAATTTAAAGACTTTCAAGGACTTCAAGGATTTCAAAACCCGCTACGAACCCTGAATGATATTGGTTTTAATATGTTCCTCCGCAACACCTACACAAAATTGTATGTGATAACGATCATTTTGTGTCTTGCATAAATTACGATGTCTTGCATAAATTACGATGAATTGGATCTTGGCCGCTGAAGAAACAGCCCTCTTAACACATGCAAATCACGGCTTGCTCAACTTACTTTTATTCTGTGTTTGAAATTTCTATAACAAATTTTTCGCCTAGCTATACGTTTTTTTTTGGATCAATCAATCTTGTCAAATATTCCCAGGTAATCCACCGTCTCCCAGCGCTTCACTTGGAAGATGAACTGCATCACAGTGGCTGGAATGCGTGCAGTAGGTCAGCGACTATTTTAGTATATTTATCGAATTTTACCAAACATCAAACCTGTACCAAAAAGTGACGTTTGCTTTTGTGTAGTTGCCATGGTGATTCAAGCAGAGCGCGCGACTCTCTCGTGATGCCCTCACTGTTGTCTAGTCGTGTTTATATTTTTGACGTCGCTACAAATCCCAGGGCGCCCAAGATTCGCAAGGTAAAAAATTAATAAACTCTTGCGGAAAATACGTCACATAATTTTGCTAGAGAGCCTCGTTTTCGCGATTGAGAGACTTGGATTTAACAAGGTCTTTCTCTGATGCCTGCGCCACTAAAATTCTCTATGTAGGTCATTGAGCCCGAAGAAGTGTTTGAAAAAACAGGCTTGGCTTACCTGCACACCTCGCACTGCCTGGCTAACGGTGACATCATGATCAGCGCCATGGGAGATCCTCAAGGAGAAGCTAAAGGTGAGGAATCGTGATTAGTCTATCGTGATTAGATAAATTATCGTGATTAGATCGTGATTAGATAAATTATCGTGATTAGTCTATCGTGATTAGATAAATTATCGTGATTAGATCGTGACTAGATAAATTATCGTGATTAGTCTATCGTGATTAGATAAATTATCGTGATTAGATCGTGATTAGTCTCTTTAAGAAGTTCAGGCAACAAGCAACACACGTATATAGCTCGTCATTTACCTTGGTGAAAACGTCTTATTAATCTTAGGCTACGTTTATACACTATACCAGATAGCTTTCCGTAGCGGCGCGAAAAAGCACCTATCCGATACGGAATGTACAACTTTCAGAAGCTGAGCGAAACAACATCTCTCCGTTGCAATAATTCCTCTGAAAATAGCGTTCCTGACGGAAAGCTATCCGATATTGTGGAAATGTAGCCTTAAAGACATGAATGACAGTTAGTGAGAAAAACTGAATTGAAAGTTTATGTAAACGAGCAGGATATTGCTACAGATATACAAGATCCTTCGCGGTCATGATTTCCTCTGTGTTTCCTTGGCTATATGTTATATCATGCAGTTCACAACAGCATGTCGCCAAACACTAACTCGACTTTCTTACCCCAGGTGGCTTTGTTCTGGTGGATGGTAAAGACTACTCTGTCAAAGGAAAATGGCAAGAACAAACCACAAAGTTTGGTTACGACTTCTGGTATCAGCCTCGACATAATGTGATGATCAGTTCAGAGTGGGGTGAACCGAAATCGTTATGTCAGGGTTTTAATCCACAGCATGTGGCTGATGGTATGTCTGTCTCTCTTCAAAGCTTCAAGCATTAGTGGTCAATGCGAGTGACTGGGTTTTAACTTGACCAAACACCAGCTTTCGTCAGGCTTCTAGTTTCCCCGTTTAGTAGCACTGGGTCAACAAGACATCGCCCTTACTGGACCTCTAGGAAGAACAGTTTCGAACTGATAGAGCTATCCAATAGAAATAAAGTTAGTGTAATAAAGTTAATTTAGTGTAGTAAGAGAGAACCCTTACTGAACTTCTAGAAAAAACAGTTTAAATCTGATAGAGTTAAGATCTAGCATATAGTAGTTTGTAGCGATCTAGTAATTTGTTTAATATATTTTTCATTTCAGGAAAATACGGGCAAAACCTCCATATTTGGGATTGGACAACACGCGAACTGAAGCAGAGCATAGATTTAGGCGATGACGGAAAGATTCCACTGGAGTTGAGATTTTTACATGATCCTGACGCGAACTTGGGTTATGTTGGTTGTGCATTGTCAAGTACTGTCTTTGCTTATCATCCTGGCAAGGTAGAGAGATTTTGAGAGAAATGCTTTTCTAAGGCTCAGCTTACTCTGATAGCTTCCACCATGTGCTGTACGACAATACTTATTCAAACTTACATATCTGTACTATCGTTTCAGAACGGTGAATGGGTAGCTGAAAAAGTTATTTCTGTCCCAAACAAAAAGGTCGAAGGCTGGGCTTTGCCAGAAATGCCAGGTATATAAAACATCATGCCAAATTATAGCGCTCTTTATTCTTCTTTCATGCTTCCTCCGTTTTCTCCGCTTTTTAGGGTTAATAACAGATATCCTGATCTCCCTGGATGACAGGTTTTTATTCTTTAGCAACTGGATACATGGCGATATTCGTCAGTATGATATCACTGACAGACTTCATCCAAAACTCGTTGGACAGGTGAGAAGATGAAACATGATGGAGTCTGACTTGACGTCACACCATACAACCCATGTCTGATCACAGCTAAAGGTGGAAGAGTTAGGTTTTGGTGAGAGAGAAAAATCTGGAGAGAAACCCTTGAAGCATAGGAGAGAATTAAACACAAGTCTAGTTAAATCAAAGCAACGAAGTCACTCATCATATAGCAATACCCTACTCTCGACCTACAGTAGCAGGCTTAACTATAGCATAGCGTTAGGAATCTCATAGCTTAGGCTTTTCCTACCACCATGACAACTCCTCTATATTCTACCATATTTCAAATCAATATTGCAACTGCCATTTGTAGCTGTTCCTTGGAGGAAGCATAACCAAAGATGGTCCAGTGAAGGTGATAAAGGACGATGAACTCAAAGAACAGCCTGAACCTGCTTATATTCAAGGAAAGAAGATCGAAGGAGGACCTCAGATGATTCAATTGAGTTTGGACGGAAAACGAATGCTTCTCACAACATCTCTTTTCAGCGCTTGGGATAAACAGTTTTATCCCGAAATGAAAAAGTAAGAATAGAAGAGTGGCATTCCTATGTCCTTCAATGCACTAAGACTTAGGATTAGATGAGGATTATTATTGTTAGGTTAAGGTTGGGTAAGGAGGCTAAAGGCAAGATTAGATTAAGGCTTAAGATACGTGTTTAGAATTGTAAAGATTAAAGAGTCCTGGTCAACCACAATGCAATGCGCGCTTTTGTTTACGTTTTCCGTTACTTTTCTTAATGGTTGCCGCCATTTTCGAGGACACAAATATGGCTGCCTCTGGTCCACAACGTAACAGAAACGTAAAGAAACGCACGCATTGCATTGTGGTTGACCAGGACTCTTTAAGCAATCATTGTATCGAAATTAGGCTTATTGCTACAGAGCCTAAAAAAGATAAACATTGACTTAAGTTTCATCATTTTGCTCTAGCAAAGGCTCCATGATGTTAAAAGTGAATGTGGACACAGAGAAGGGAGGCTTAACATTGGACAAAGATTTTTGTGTTGATTTTGGCGAAGAACCCGACGGTCCAGCTCTAGCGCACGAGGTCAGATACCCAGGTGGTGACTGCTCTTCAGACATATGGATCTAACAATTTACATTTTGTTTTCTGATTAAATAAATAAAGTAAATTTACATTTTGTTTTATGATTCAATGAATAAGAATAAATTTACATTTTGTTTTATGATTAAATGAATAAGAATAAATTTACATTTTGTTTTATGATTAAATGAATAAGAATAAATTGAGTCAATATATTGAATTATTATTTACAAAAATTAATTTTGCAAAATGTTTACAGTTTTCGGAGTTGTTTGGTATGAAAATTTACTCGCTTGATTTAGAACGTGCATGGGAGGATAATAAAATAGAACTTTTACTCAAATTGTGTCGTTAATGATTATAATTTTAGCGCATTTTTAAGATCGGACTCATTTTTAAGATCGGACTCAAATCATTGTACAGATTTATTTGTAAAACCTTGAGGATAAGTCAAATAAATATAAGATCGCATGAACTTAATCCCAAGGTATTCTAAGTTCTCGTATAATTCTGATGATTTATTAAACATATACCTTTGCACAAAACCTATATACGTGTGCTCATGTTGTTGCATTAGTCCGTGTTATGACAGCAATAAAATGGACAAATTTAGAAAACCAAAACATGGAAGTGAATGTTTATTTTAAGTTAAAAATGTGATTGACATTTATTCGAGCATTTGTTAGCTTTGCCATTTTAAAATAATTTGAACTTCAACTTTTATTTGCACGATTATCAATTTTACGAAAATTAAGAGCCAGATATTTGTGCATGTCTGAACAGAACTCCTATAGAGACATAGAGAGTATAGGAGTTCTGTTCAGACATGCACAAGATCATACACTCAGTTACGCTCAGATCATATATCTGGCTCTTTCGTAAAATTGGTATAAATCGTGCAAATAAAAGTTGAAGTTCAAATTATTTTAAAATGGCAAAGCTAATAAATGCTCGAATAAATGTCAATAACATTTTTAACTTAAAATAAACATTATATAGCTATAAGAAAAGGTTAACGGCCACCAGGTCTGAGTGTATGATCTTGGGCATGTCTGAACAGAACTCCTATAAGAAAAGATTAACCTTTCCATCAGGTCAAACACAAAACACGGAATAGTTTATTGTAGAATACTACCATGCAACACTGGACCTCTACGTTTGAGATATATTTTCAGGTAGTTCAGACACAAACCACGACAGATTATTGTAGAATACTACCTGCACTGCACCACCACGTTTGAGATATCTTTTTAGGTAGTTCAGAAACAAACCACGGCAGTTTATTACAGAATACTACCTACACTGGAGTCGACAGGCAAAGTGATTGTTCGAATGTGTACGGGACGGTGTCGTCAGATACTGTCCATATGATTTTCGATGAGGTATACAGGGTGTCCCCAAAAAACCGAAAACTATTGAAATCACCAATAACAATTTAATTGTTAGAATTTGAATGCCTAGCACTCTGTTGGTTCCCACGAGTGCATAAATGATTGATAAAGAAACTATTATAAATGATAAAGAAACTATTTAAGAAGCTGCTTTAAATTCTCAAAAGCAGAAAATCGCTCACTTTACAAGGAGATGTTCTCAACTAAATTTTAATACATGCACCTTGTCAATATTTTACGCATCATTACGTTCAGCTTTTTGGTAGGGCATTCAAATTTTAACAATAAGTGATTTCAATAGTTTTCGTGTTTTTTTGGACACCCTGTACAGCTCTCCAATAAGAGGTATAATGAGGTACGCTTTTGTCTTCTAAATTTCCCTCATCAAGCATGCAGGGGAAAATTAGAGGACAAAGAAATCTTTTGTTTTCAACTAAATGGGTAATGAGGGAAATACGGGATTTACATTCCCTCTCAGAACAATGAAAATCGAGGCTACCATGTAATTATGTTACTAAAACTGTTCTAATTGGATTATTAATCAACGGAATGCACGCGCGTCATTCCATCACATTCCACATTTGATGAGATGATTACTCCTGCTTGGGCTTGCATATAGGATCCTGACGGAGGCTCAGCTAAACTGCATATTGAAATTGCTCCAAATCCACTGAAATGAGCTGCGACAAAAACGCAAACCGTAAGTAAAGATAAGGTTATGATACTAGATAATGAAACATTGTTGTCTTTTGAATTAAACCACACAGAGTATGCAAAGAGAACTATACTTGACACCTACTGAACAATGTATGAAGTCGAGTGAATATTGTATGGAGCCAGCATTTAACCGCCGGGCACGTAGGCTCTACATGCTGTGAGTTGCTTGTTAAACTCAATTCATTCTGTAGTAGTATGTAGAGTTCCTAAATGAACACAAGTTATAGGTGGAGTAACTATAGAACAACATCGAACAATACGAATCGATACCACTACAACCAGTTTTTTGAAAAGCTTTCGTCGAATCTACTATTCATAATAGAGAGGTTAAGATACACCGGTTTCGGTGTACGTGTACGGGTAGAATGATTTTGGTTAGCAATATTTTCGTCGATGTCTGTACCTTTACTCGTAATTAAGGTGCACATTTTTCGCATTATATCATTGTCTATTGGAAGAAAACTGAAAAAGTATGATCGAATTACAAACATCAGTAAAACAAGATGACACTACTCGTACCCGTACACCGAAACCGGGGTATCTTAACCTCTCTAATATGGATTTGGTTCCATACCTAAGATCGTATCTTCAGTTTTAGCGCATTTTTAAGATCGGACTCACCATTCACTGATCATTGTACAGATTTATTTATATAACCTTGAGGATCATGTTGCTGCGTTACTCCGTGTCATGACAGCAATAAAATAGACAAATTTAGAAAACCAAAACATGGAAGTGAATGTTTATTTTAAGTTTAAAATGTTATTCACATTTATTCGAGCATTTATTAGCTTTGCCATTTTAAAATAATTTGAACTTCAACTTTATTTGCACGATTACCAATTTTACGAAAATTAAAAGCCAGATATATGATCTGAGTACTGTATGCAGATCATGCATGCCTGAACAGAACTCCTATGCTATAGGAGTTCTGTTCAGACATGTACAAGATCTGCATATACTCGGATCATATATCTGGCTCTTAATTTTCGGAAAATTGGTAATCGTGCAAATAAAAGTTGAAGTTATCATTTCAAATTATTTTAAAATGGCAAAGTGCCAAAGCTAATAAATGCTCGAATAAATGTCAATAACATCTTTAACTTAAAATAAACATTAAGGTGTGAGTGTATGATCTTGGGCATGTCTGAACAGAACTCCTAGAAGAAAAGATTAATCTTTCCACCAGGTAAAACACAAACCAGGATATAGTTTATTGTTCTCCATGCAAAACTGGACCAGGTTTGCAAAACTGGACCGTGGTGGACCAGGTTTGCATGGTAGAACAATAAACTATACCCTGCCCTGGTTCGTGTTTTACCTGGTGGAAAGATTAATCTTTTCTTCTAGGAGTTCTGTTCAGACACGCACAAGAGAGATCGATCTCAAACGTGCATGGTTGTCTAGTTTTGCATGGTCGTATATTCTACAATAAACTATAGCCTGCCCTGGTTTGTGTTTTACCTGGTGGAAAGATTAATCTTTTCATATAGGAGTTCTGTTCAGACACGCACAAGATCAGTTAGATCATATACACCGGATCATATATCTGGTTCTTAATTTTCGCTCAAAAGATAGAGCAGGTAAATTGATACAATTGGCTTCTTAAAAGCTCCGAGCAGTTATATCTCTATCTATGATAAAATTCTGCATGATGAAATCCACGAAGAGACCATTTTCATTTTTTAGATTGTTGCAATGGCCCGGGCTATGCTACGCCTTTAGATGCGATGAAAGGCCCCCGGGAGAAGATTGTGTATTTGCCATGTATTTATGGTAATACTGGGATTAAAAAACCTGACTATCTTGCTACAGTTGATGTGGACCCGGAGTCGTCAGATTACGGCAAGGTAAGAGGTCATTCGGCAAGGGTGATTTTTGTCTCCTCAGAAATTGAGCTATGATACAAATAGAACTATAGAAGAATTGTGAGTTGGTTTCCTCTGGCCAGAAAATATTTGCAGTGCATTCTTTCTTTCTATTCCTATACCCAATTTTAAGGTTAATCACTATATAGTGCATGTTCGCAGTCATTACATTTTCTATACGTGTTTTATAGCATGCACGTGCAGGTGCGATGTAAATTTTGTTTCTTACTGAAATATCTCTAATATTCGTGGTTACTTATATGATTCTTTATAGCAGATAAATTACAATGACAGGGTTCGTAGTCTCCAAGACCAAAAAAATTTAAAGACTTCCAAAGATTTTTTCTGCCTATTTTCAAAGACTTTTCAAAGACCTTTGAAAACAATCAGCTGTCGAAAAATTGCGAGTGTAAGCACCATTTTTACCCGGTAATTAGTCCCGTCAAATCACGTCCTAAAATGCGCCTTTTCGTCGATATTTGCGAAAATCTTGCTTCAATCAATCTGTTTTATTAGCTAGGAAATCGTATAATCAATTCCTCACTAAAGAATTTAAAGACTTTCTTCGCTTCTTCACACAATTCAAAGACCTTTCAAATACCTTAAAGACCTGCATTCAAATTTAAAGACTTTCAAGGACTTCAAGGATTTCAAAACCCGCTACGAACCCTGAATGATATTGGTTTTAATATGTTCCTCCGCAACACCTAAACAAAATTGTATGTGATAACGATCATTTTGTGTCTTGCATAAATTGCGATGGATTGGATCTTGGCCGCTGAAGAAACAATCATCATAGAACATGCACGGCTTGCTCAACTTACTTTTATTCTGCGTTTGAAATTTCTATAACAAATTTTTCACTCAGCTATACGATTTTGGATCAATCAATATTCTCAAATATTCCCAGGTAATCCACCGTCTCCCAGCGCTTCACTTGGAAGATGAACTGCATCACAGTGGCTGGAATGCGTGCAGTAGGTCAGTGATTATTTTACCGAATTTTACCAAACATCAAACCTGTACAAAAAGTGACGTTTGCTTTTGTGTAGTTGCCATGGTGATTCAAGCAGAACACGCGACTCTCTCGTGATGCCCTCACTGTTGTCTAGTCGTGTTTATATTTTTGACGTCGCTACAGATCCCAGGGCGCCCAAGATTCGCAAGGTAAAAAATTAATAGACTCTTGCGGAAAATACGTCACATAATTTTGCTAGAGAGCCTCGTTTTCGCGATTGAGAGACTTGGATTTAACAAGGTCTTTCTCTGATGCCTGCGCCACTAAAATTCTCTATGTAGGTCATTGAGCCCGAAGAAGTGTTTGAAAAAACAGGCTTGGCTTACCTGCACACGACGCACTGCCTGGCTGACGGTAACATCATGATCAGCGCCATGGGAAATCCTCAAGGAGAAGCTAAAGGTGAGGAATCGTTATTAGTCTATCGTGATTAGATAAATCATAGTCATTAGTCTATCGTGATTAGATAAATTATCGTGATTAGATAAATTATCATGATTAATCTATATCGTGATTAGATAAATTATCGTGATTAGTCTATCGTGATTAGATAAATTATCGTGATTAGTCTATCGTGATTAGATAAATTATCGCGATTAGATCGTGATTAGTCTCTTTAAGAAGTTCAGGCAACACTACTATGCAACGCACTTATATAAAGCTTGTCATTTAATTTGACGAAAACGTTAGTCGCCAAACACTAACTCGACTTTCTTACCCCAGGTGGCTTTGTTCTGGTGGATGGTAAAGACTACTCCGTCAAAGGAAAATGGCAAGAACAAACCACAAAGTTTGGTTACGACTTCTGGTATCAGCCTCGACATAATGTGATGATCAGTTCAGAGTGGGGCGAACCGAAATCGTTATGTCAGGGTTTTAATCCACAGCACGTGGCTGATGGTATGTCTGTCTCTCTTCAAAGCTTCAAGCATTAGTGGTCAATGCGTGTGACTGGGCTTGAACTTGACCAAGCATGAAGTAGCAGTGAACAAGACATCGCCCTTACTGAACCTCTACGAAGAACAGTTCAGAACTGATAGAGCCACGATCTACTGTAGCATAAAATGTAATTTGGTTCGTGTATTTTTCATTTCAGGAAAATACGGGCAAAACCTCCATGTTTGGGATTGGACAACACGCGAACTGAAGCAGAGCATAGATTTGGGCGATGACGGGAAAGTTCCACTGGAGTTGAGATTTTTACACGATCCTGACGCGAACTTGGGTTATGTCGGTTGTGGATTGTCAAGTACCGTCTTTGCTTATCATCCTGGCAAGGTAGAGAGATTTTGAGAGAAATGCTTTTCTAAGGCCCAGCTTACTCTGATAGCTTCCACCATGTGCTGTACGACAATACTTATTCAAACTTACATATCTGTACTATCGTTTCAGAACGGTGAATGGGTAGCTGAAAAAGTTATTTCTGTCCCAAACAAAAAGGTCGAAGGCTGGGCTTTGCCAGAAATGCCAGGTATATAGAACATCATGCCAAATTATAGCGCTCTTTATTCTTCTTTCATGCTTCCCCCATTTATAATCAAAGCAAAGTATGATGACGCGTTTTCTCCGCTTTTTAGGGTTAATAACAGATATCTTGATCTCCCTGGATGACAGGTTTTTATTCTTAGTTAACTGGCTACATGGCGATATTCGTCAGTATGATATCACTGACAGACTTCATCCAAAACTCGTTGGACAGGTGAGAAGATGAAACGAGTCTCACTTGAGGTCACACCATACAACGGCCCATGTCTGATCACAGCTAAAGGTGGAAGGGTTAGGCTTTGATGAGAGAGAAAAACCCCGGAGTACCTAGTTAAATCAGAGCGACAAAATCACTCATCATATAGCAACATCCGGTACTCTCAACCTACAGTAGCAGGGTTAACTTAGCCATAAAGGACAGCATCTGTCACCCGTGCATTCCGAGATTTATAGCATAGTGTCCTAAATCTCATAGCTTACTCTTTTCCTACTACCATCCGACCCCTCTATCTTATTTCAAATCAATATTGCAACTGCCATTTGTAGCTGTTCGTCGGAGGAAGCATAACCAAAGATGGTCCAGTGAAGGTGACAAAGGATGAGGAACTAAAAGAACAGCCTGAACCTGCTTATATTCAAGGAAAGAAGATCGAAGGAGGACCTCAGATGATTCAATTGAGTTTGGATGGAAAACGACTGTTTTTCACTACATCTCTTTTCAGCGTTTGGGATAAACAGTTTTATCCCGAAATGACAAAGTAAGAATAGAAGAATGACATTCCTATGTCCTTCAATGCACTAAGACTTAGGATTAGATGAGGATTATACAATTGTTAGGTTAAGGTAAGGACTATATGTTGGATAATGGCAAGATTAGAGCAAGGCTTATAAGCAGGTATTAGAATGGGCAAAGCTACCTACCTTATTAAATAGAAGACTGCAAGATATTACGACCAGGTCGAATCTAAGATCTGCCCAAATCACATGCTAGACATGTTTTGTAGAAACTCAACAGTAGATTTAATAGATTTAATACAGTCAACTACGGTAAACATTCTCTTAGATATTTTGGGCCACAATTGTGGTCTAATATTTTAGCTGTAGAAATTTATCTACTTAGAAATTAATTATTTATTTATGTAGATAGTGTCCTTATATTTAGTGGTTTTATACTACTATCATTTTTTGACACTTATTAATTAATAATAATAAAGTTATTATTATTATTAATTGTGAAGATTAAGCAATCATTGTATCGAAATTAGGCTTATTACTACAAAGTCTAAGAAAGATAAGCATTGATTTAAATTTCATCATTTTGCTCTAGCAAAGGCTCCATGATGTTAAAGGTGAATGTGGACACAGAGAAAGGAGGCTTAACATTGGACAAAGATTTTTGTGTTGATTTTGGCGAAGAACCCAACGGTCCAGCTCTAGCACACGAGGTCAGATACCCAGGTGGTGACTGCTCTTCAGACATATGGATCTAACAATTTACATTTTGTTTTAGGATTAAATAAATAAAGTAAATTTACATTTACTTTTATGATTCATTGAATATGAATAAATTTACATTTTGTTTTATGATTAAATGAATAAGAATAAATTTACATTTTGTTTTATGATTAAATGAATAAGAATAAATTTACATTTTGTTTTATAATTATATGAATCAGAATATTCAGATTCTGACAATAATAATCAGAATAAATCAATCTTGAATTATTAGTATATGAACGATTGAAAACCTGCATGGCACACCATTTGTTTACATGGATTTTGTGTCTGAGGGAAATTAGCCCGTTGGGCATACTATGGCGTTCCGTTCCGGTCAAAATGATTTCAAGTCAATAAGTAATATTCAAACATCATATAAACATCTTATAACTCTCAATATAATGTTGAAAATATCAAGATGAAGTTCAAACTCAAAAAAATAAAACGAAAGTTTAAAGCATATACTTGAAAAATGCAAAATACATTTCAAATCTCAAAGGATATATATGAAAATTAAACGCAAGTCCAAACTTCTATTTATAAAGCGAAACTCCCAAATGATAAGTCAAAGCCGCGGCTCATAAAAATAAATCGAAAAGTCAAAAATATAAATCGAAAGGAAACGGAAGTAAGAATTAAAATACAGAGGAAGTCAGGAAACGGAAGTTAACCACAAACATTGCTGATTCAGCCGAATATCTTTCTCGCCGTCTGGATGTTTACAAAAGGAAATATAAATATTCTTCTCAATCTCACAAGGCTTAATACCCTCTAGAACAACAACGTTTGCCAGATATGCGCATCCTTCAAGTGATTGTTCGTCGTCGAAGGGAAAGATGCGAAGCACTTTCCTTTCGCCCTTTGTTGGAGGAGTACCGTCTCCTCCTACCCCC